TATGCTATTGTGTAGACTGTGCTTGCCCTCCTTAAGTACAGGGGAATCATTGCTCTGTCTGGTGTGAACAATGCTGCCTCTGTTAAGTGTTGCATTTTGCCTTTACAGATGCAACCTTGAGATCTCAGCTGTCCGTGTTATCACTGGCCGAGAGACTGCAAAGAATCAGGAAGAGGCCATGCAGAAGCAAAGAGGACAATGAAAATGAATGAAAATCAGGAGTGGCGGGAGAGAGAAAGGAGGGTCTGCCAGCAAAATGCGGATCGCTGGCACCAAAGCATGGAGCGGCTGATAAGCATCATGGAGCACCAAGAGGACTCGATCCAGGCGCTCATAGCCATGCAGGCGGAGCACTACCGCGCCTGCCCCCCCTGCAGCCCTTGTCCCAAAACTCTTTCCCTTGTGGCCCCATGTCACCTCCAACCCACTTTCCCCAACATCCAGGTTCTTATCGCCACTAGCTGCCTCCAACACCTGTAGCTTCACCACCCAGCCCTGAAAACTACGACCCTTAGCCACTGCACTCAACCCCCATCACCATGCAGTATAGCCATCCTGAAGTGCATCACTCATTGCACAGCACTCCAAACAGGAAGGCTGAGTATGATAACAGGACATACGCAAATCTGTGATTGTACCGTTCCCCACCCCAGCCCCTTGCCCTTTCTGTTTTCCAAACAGTTGTGTTTCTTTTCAATACATGCATTTTTTTGCTTTGAAAACATTCTTTATTATTGCATAAAGTAAAAGATACCTTAGCCCAGGAAAGCAACAGGCACTGCAAGTCAGTGTATCATACGTAGCAAACACAGATTACTACTCACATTGGAACCACTGCACTTCACTCCCGTGCAGGGCACCAGACATTACTGGTGGCTTTCAGACTCAAATTGTTCCCTCAAGGCATCCCTAATCCTTGCAGCCCCACGCTGGGCCCCTCTAATAGCCCTGCTGTCTGGCTGTTCAAATTCAGCCTCCAGGTGTTGAACCTCCGAGTTCCATGCCTGAGTGAATCTTTCACCCTTCCCTTCACAAATGTTATGGAGGGTACAGCACGCGGATATAATCGCGAGGATGCTGTTATCGGCCAGGTCCAGCTTCCCATACAGAGAGCGCCAGCGGCCCTTTAAACGGCCAAAAGCACACTCCACAGTCATTCTGCACCAGCTCTGCCTGTTGTTGAACCGTTCCTTACTGCAGTCAAGGCTCCCTGTGTAGGGTTTCATGAGCCACGGCATTAAAGCGTAAGCGGGGTCTCCAAGAATCACAATGGACCTTTAGACTTCCCCTACGGTGATCTTCTGATCTGGGGAAAAAGTCCTGGCCTGCATCTTCCTGAACAGGCCAGTGTTCCGAAAGATGCGTGCGTCATGCACCTTTCCGGGCCAGCCTGCATTAATGTTAATGAAATGCCCACAGTAATCCGCAAGCGCTTGGAGAACCATAGAGAAATACCTCTTCCGATTAATATACTCGGAGGCTAGGTGGGCTGGTGTCAGAATTGGAATATGCGTCCCATTTATCGCCTCTCCACAGTTAGAGAAACCTATTTGTGCAAAGCCAGCCACAATGTCATGCATGTTACCCAGAGTCACGGTTCTTCTGAGAAGGATGCAATTAATGGCCCTGCAAACTTGCATCAACACGGTTCCAACAGTCGAGTTCCCCACTCCAAACTGGTTAGCGACCGATTGGTAGCTGTCTGGAGTTGCTAGCTTCCAGATTGCAATAGCCACCTGCTTCTCCACCATCAGGGCAGCTCTCAATCTCGTGTCCCCAGGGTGGGGGCGAGCTCTTCACACAGTCCCATGAAAGTGGCTTTTCTCATGTGAAAGTTCTGCAGCCACTGCTCATCATCCCAGACTTGCATGACGATGTGATCCCACCACTCAATGCTTGTTTCCCGAGCCCAAAAGCGCCGTTCCACGGTGGTGAGGATGTCCATGAATGCCACAAGCAATCTCGTGTCGTATGCGTTACTTGAGTCAATATTATCGTCGGAATCCTCGCTGTCACTTTGGATTTTCAGGAATAACTCGACTGCCAAACGTGATGTGATGGTGAGACTCATCAGCATATTCCTCAGCAGTTCGGGCTCCATTCCCGCAGACCGAAAGGGAAGAGAGCGCATAGTACAAAAAAACGTTGAAAGATGGCGCCATTTGTGGACGGAAGCAGAGGGATTGCTGGGATGCGAAGTGATGCATCATGGGATGTTGGGACAGGACCCAGAATGCCCCGTCCCCCCCCCTTCCCACAAGCCACAGCACCAGAATGGGAAGAGATGCTCTGTGGGATAGCTTCCCACAATGCACCGCTCCCAATGCCGCAAATGTAGACACACAAGTGTGTTTGCAGCTGTCAGTGTGGACAGACTGCAGTGCTTTTCCTACTGCGCTCTACGAAGGCTGGTTTAAGCGCTCTACATTTGCAAGTGTAGCTATGCCCTTAATATCCAGTTCAGTAACTGGAACAGTTCCAGGGCAGCCTCAGTACTCAGATCACAATTTACCTTGTGATTTTCCCCTCCCCCCCTTTATGCTGAAGCCAATTAGTACTTAATCAGGTGTCTTATCTTCCCGAGCATTAGGGATGAGGTATCCAAGAAATAGTCTACAGGGTCCTAATAACCCAGATCAGGTTTGTTACACTACATTTGTCAAATCAGTGGTTGCTTTGCATGCCGCAAGAACATAATGTGGATGTTTACTGCCAAGTTTTCCCCTGGGGTTAGATTTGGAATATCTGCATTAGTTACCAGTGGAGCTTTGAAAATGTGCTTGTCTGTGGTAATGAGGTGTCCTGTGATAAACTGCAATTCTGACATAAGTTTATTTTCCAGTACACTAACACCATTGTAATGTGGAGTTTTCCCAGGAGAATACTGCTGGATGCTTGCTTTTGTGCACAGTTGTTGTTGAGAGATGCAAAAGGAGGTTTCAGCTTTACATTTTGTAGAAGATATAATTGGATATGCATAATATCAGAATAAAATGAGAGAGTCTGAAGCAAACATAGGAAAAGATGACTTGTGGATAAATTTATGTTGCATAATTAGTAAGTTTAGAAAAAACATTTTGTACGAATCATTGGTTAGGCTGACCCTTTCATTATCATGTTGGCTTGATATCCTGCCACCTGGATTTCACAAAGAAGTTTAGAAACTGAACTTAGCTCTCTTAAATGAAAAACAAAGTATATTGAGTGGAGACAAGTGAATTGTGATTTATGCTGGCTCCCTATCTACAGCTTTCAAAACTCTTAGTAGATGCAAACACTGTAGTGATTGACAATTTTTAGGAAATTTTAAATTGTCCTGTTGCTTATTAATTATATTTCAATGACCTGTTAACTTCAAAGAGACTTGCCATAGCTCACGTATTTCAAGTGACACTTATGCATTTTCAAAGTCTGTCACAAAAGTTTCTGCACAAATAGTAAAATGTCAGACATTTTAGAAAGATACCCTTTCCCCACAGAATATTTAACAGAGGAAGGTGCAATACAAGACACCATGGGTTCTAATTCTAGCACTTCTACTGATTATTCTTAATACTTCTGTGCACTTCCCAATTTTTATTAACCCAGGCCTCTGACCTCTACCTTAGGTGAGGCAATCATTTACCCATTTTACAGATAAAAGAGGTTGGATAAGGCACTGTAGGCAATGCTAATTCAACAGTCCCAAGTTTCACACATCTCGCTATGCTGCCTTTCAGATATAATGAGCCAAATTAAGTGTTTGTCTGCCCATGCTAATGCAGTGTGGATCTTTATCCCTCTTTAGCAACTAGACCAGAGAAGTTTATGAGCCTGTTATTGCCTCCATGCTTATGTACATTGATCTTTAGCCCAAATGATAGAAGCTCAGGTTTTTAGAATCAGTGATCCCAGGTTTAGTCACTGCAGGTTACTCAAACAGGGGAGTCACTATGCTGTCTTTAACCAATAGACCGTACTCTACTCAGAGAGCCAGGAATAGAATCCTCATGCCCAACCTACAATTGCTAGTTCACAGTTATGTAACCCGGTTATTAAAAACGTGTTTTCTCTCTCTCTGGGATGCTCCCCACAGAGGATAACAGCACATCTCATGTAGTTATTCCTATAGTGAAAGTGGTAGACGTCTGTGGTGTCTGTCTGAGGGCTATGGGTTCAGTTCTGGTTTATGACCCATGTAGGAAAAAATATAAGTAAGTTAGTGTGCAGATCCTAGAATAAATTAATATTTCATATTGCAAGTCACATTGAGGTGAAGTTGGATATTTGTTTTATTGTATTTTTAGTCTTTGTACATTGGTTAATGGGTGTTTTCCCTTTAAGAACAAGGTAGGGGCACATATTATGGCATTTTTTGAAGAAAAAGGAGCAATATGTGGGAGATGTTGGGTGTGGGTGCAGAGAGTGGAAGACCCTGCCTGCAATATTGCTAACCATTTGTATTAGAAAATAACGAGTCTAACCCCTCAAATCTTGAGATTGGCTAAAAATCAGGACATTTAAAAAAAAGTAATATATTTTGAGAATTCTTTTTATTTGCCTTCTGGTTTGAGCCTTTAGGATAACCCTGGAAATTTAGTGCAGGTCTTTCTCAGCAACCTCTATAACAATGAAGACTAGAAACTTGCTTGTTTAAAAATGAAAGCTGAGATCCTCATGTAATCACTTGACTCCAGAAGCTGGAGCTTTAAGAAAAACACTTATAAGATTCTTGATAAAATCAAAAGAGCTGGCAACACCATGCCTATGTAAGTTCCAAAAAAGTAAGAATTTGATTTTAAAAAAGCTTACCTTTCTAGAAGACAAACAACTCTTGCTGAAGACAGGGCCGGCGCAACTCATTAGGCGACGTAGGCGGTCACCTAGGGCGCTACAATTTGGGGGGCGGCGACCACGGCGGTATTTCGGCAGCGGGACCTTCCGCTGCCTCTGTGGGGGGCGGCATTTTGGGGCGGGACCTTCCCGCCTAGGGTGGCAGAAAAGCTGGCGGCGCTCCTGGCTGAAGATGTAACATTAACCCTTATCAGGGGATTAGATGCCTCATGACATTGTTAATGATCTTCAGAGTCTTTTTGTCCCTGTAGGTCACAAGTATGAATCCAACCAACTCAGCAGGTATTAAAGATTGTTATTGTCTAATAATGGATGTTTGGTGGCCTCTATATGAGTTGGGTTTAGTGAGTGTCAGTTCCAGCTCCTGCATCATAATGTCATCACTACCATGCTTTGCACTAACTGGCAGACTCAGCATGGGCCCTGGAGACTGACTTAGCCCTCTTATCTCTAGAAATCACCCCAGAGCTGAGCTATGCCAGTAGGGCAACCTTCCTTGTTGCTGCCCTATAGATGAGCAGGGCAGCATACAGCAGAGGTTTATGAGCACTAAACCCACACTTTTTTTTATAGCTGGAGTCTTCATGACTCAGCCCTCCAAGGTATCAGAGTCCCTCCATACAAACATGGCAGTCTTCCCTTCTCTGCCCTGACTGTGCCACTCCTCCTGTGGCTGGTAGGGAAACACAGGCCCACCCTCTACTCCAGGTTCCAGTCCAGCATCTGTAGCAACAATGGCCTGATTCCTTCCTCACTATGGTACTCTTGCTCTGGACTCCTTTCTACTTCTCAACTCTATGTTCTGGCTTCCCCCACACTCCTCCCATGGAACAACTTGGCTCTGTAACCCCCAAACACGCCTCCCCTCTCCTATGAGTAACTACAGACTATTTCCTGACAGCCCCTTTCTGTTGGGATGGCCCAGCTCCTCCCCCAGCTGGACTTGTTCGGCAATTAGGTCTTAGCATGCCCTGGCTTTCCTCCTTTAATTGGCCTAATTTACCCCTTCAGGCCTTGTGTGAGTTGGACACTCCATCAGAGGAGGACATTGTCACCTCAGAATTCCACCTAATGATGGCTCCACGGACGTTACTGCAGCCTTGCAAAGAGGGACCAGGATCAATGGAGAGATACTTAACCTGTTAACCATGACCAACTCACATGTTTCTAAACATCATTAATTTTGTCTACACTAGGTACTAAGTAATGTTTAAAAACATGTTAATTTTGACATAGATGTTAAATAACATATTTTTGAGCATCACTTATTTTCCCAGTCTACATAACCCTATAGTGACCCTTTCTGCATCTGCCTGCCTTTCCTTAGGACTGGACAAGATGATATGGAAACAGCATATGTGGCTAAATGGACCAATACACTCCTTTACTCCAATGTAGCGTAAGTTCAGGATTGAGGTCCAACTTTGATTAAGCACATCTACTAATATGTTGAAGCAGGAAAAAAATGGCAACAAATGGGAGAGAGCAATTGGTCTTACTAATAGAGTAATAATATACTATATATATTGTCTCAAATTAGAAATCTAAGACTAAATGTGTTATTTTAAATATATTCCAGATGGGCTGGAAAATGTGCAGGAAAAAAAAATCATTCCAAAGAAAAAGAAAAAGAAAAGAACAAAAATAAGAAAAGGGTCACAAACTCCTCCTGACTCTATGGATTATTTGATGGCAGAAATACCATTTGCCAGTACAGATACTGGAGATGAATTTGGCAGTAAGTATATTAAAAAAAACTGGTTTAAACATATGTAGATCAAACATTTAGGTTATTATCTGCTAGTTGGCCCATGCAGGCAGACCTCACCACCCAAACAAAACCATGTGAACTAGCTTGCAGAGTCAGGGCCATATAGTCACTGTTATTAGACTCAATTCTGCAAACACTTAAGCGTGTTAGAAACTTACCATGCCATTGTCTAAAATAAGACTTTTCTACTTAAAACTTCTCTAATCCTATATAGGTATATTATTTTTGAAAACTTAGTAAGAATGGGATATAGTACCTTTTACCTTTATGTTGCTGGCTCAAGACCAACTCACGTTGGTGTAGTATTTCTTATTGTGTATATTTTTTTATTAATCTGTATTTACAAAATAAATGTTTTGCCTTCTCCCTCTCTTCCCCTAGTTACTAGTACATTTGAAATATATTTTAAAAAGAGGAGAAAAAGAACTACTAGAAGGAAGACTGAAGAAGACGATCAAACAAAGAAGAAAAAGCAAGATCAGCCAAACTATTTCATTTCTCTTCCAATTACAAACCCAAAGGTGGTATTCTTTTCTAGTCTCTTTTTCTACGGGCAAAATTACTTCAACAGGAGTAAATAAGGCAAGCAATATTTAGCCTAAAGGAGCAGGTCTCAAACTATTGGGCGGGCCTTCTATGGGAGGTGTAGGAATGTGTCAAGGGAGGCGTGAGCTGTATTCTTTTTAAGAGCTCTGGCTGTCAGCACCGGTGGTTAGGGCTTATGCAGAAGGGCAGTGCACACCCGGGAAGCAGAGATAAAGGGGACAGCCGAAGCCCTGCCACCTGGGCTTGAACTCTCTTCCCCCCCACCCATCCCTCACCTCTCCTACCCCGTCCCCCCATTCACTCATCGGGAGGCAGCCCAGGCTCAGGCTCTCCTCTCCTCGCTCCTCTCCACCCCCACAATCCCTCATCTGGAGGCAGCGGAGCTCTGGCTGTCAGCCCTAGGGTGCAGCAGCAGCACAGAAATAAGGGTGGCAGTGGGGCGCTAAGTCTTCTGTCAAAAGTGTTATTGACAAATATCACTTTTCACATTGCCACTCTTACTTCTTTGCTGCTGCTGGCATGGCAGTGCCTTCAGAGCTGGGTGGTGGTATATGGACTTTGGGGTGGGAGGGCAGGGCATAAACAACTACTGACACAAAGAAGGGGGGGCCCGATCAAATAAGTTTGAGAACCAGTGGCCTAAAGTATGACAAATTATTTTATATTATTCTTTAAGGAACAGTGTCATATTAAGAATCACACTGAAACTGTTTTTACTAACCATTATTACAAATAACAATGGATTACTCTTATTTGAAAGATATTAGAGAACATTTTTTCTCTTGTTATCCAGTTTGTTAGATTTGTGGATTTGACAGCATTTCGTGTGTAATCAGTTTTACTGTTTCCATCTGTATACTCAGGTTGTTTGTGAAAGTCATTCACACAGCAACAGGGGAGAGGAACACTTTAAAAAATAGGAAAGTGTAAATAGTAAATCCACAAAATTGTAGGAGGACTGAGGACAGGTGTATAGTACATGAAACTACCTTAACTCATTTTATGAAGTTGAGTAGATTTCACTTAGACTGTTTTCCTTTAATAACATGGAATTTGTCCAATTTGCTGTATAATTCATGGTGAACAAATCACCTCCATCCAAAAACTGTAAACCTGTTATGTAAAGGACATATTTCAGGATGATTATTGTCTAAAAGAGGCAGTTATAGGCCATTTATATGTGATTTTTGCATATACCTATCATCATCTCACTAATATTTCAGTTCTAGTAGCAGTGTTCATTTTTGGTTCTGATTCTGCAACTGACTGCACAGATAGACCTCTGACCCATGCACTAAAGTCACAGATAGACCTCTGACCTCACTAAAGTCAGCGGGACTCCATCCTCATGGAGCCAGGTACAGGATCAGGGCCAATGTGTCAAATATCATGAGGGGACCACAGCTACTTAAATAATTATTTTATCCTGAAATTTGCTATTAAAAATACTTACTTACTGTTTACTCTAGATTAGGTGGAATATTAAAGTCTGATTTGCCCTGAGTAGAATAGCAGCTCGCCCAATAGGGGTGGGTGTGTGATTTGATTTTTAATGTGGATGGGTTTTAGTTAAAAATAGACTGATACACTATGTCAGACAAACTCCAGCTACAGTCTAGTGCCCCCAATCCTGCAAACACTCATATATGCTTAAATTTATGTTCATCAGTATTCCCACTGATTTGGACTACTCATGTGAGTAAAGTTACATGCATGCATATGTGTTTGCAGGACTGGGACTTAAGAAATACTGGTTAGTTCTCTTCCTCCCCCAAAAGGGGTCCTTCAGTGATTTCTTCCAGTGTGTTGTGATAACTGACCTTCTGGAGAAGAACTGGACAATTCTGTTACTGCTAAGAACTCTGGGACAAGCAATGATGGTTAAAGCTGAAAATCTAAATCCATCCTAGTTCACATATATAGGCTTGAGAGTCAATTAGGCAGTTATTAATATCACGTCTCTAAGAAGCATGTTGATACATATTCTTAACAAAATTGAGAGATTGTTGGAGTTTCATGCAGTGCAAGTGGTTTCAAGACATACATTAGGATCTTTAAGAACATGTATCTCATGGTTGTTTATAATGTTGTTGTAACTGTGTTGGTCCCAGGATATTAGAGACACAAGGTGGGTGAGATAGGGATAAAAGATATTACCTCATCCACCTTGTCTCTCTTTCTCATGGTTAGCATGCATTGTCTTAGTTAAGGTAGTAATAGCTGAGCATGATTCCTTCTCACTAGCTGACATATACACTGAGTTTTGCTAGATATGGATGTTGTGAATACCTGTTGTGGCTTCAGCATGGAAAATAAGAGACAGTGTTAGGTGTAAAAGTGGTGCTGTCAAAACCTGTACTTGAATACAGGGTCTGAATTAGATTTTTAAAAATATTTGTTAGGAGACCCCATCAGATGTGTTTTGAGGGTCAACCAGAGAGTGGAACTGTATCTGTGCTATATACTCACACACAGACCCCAGTATTGAGGAATTCTGCATAATGTCTGAAAATGAATTTAATAAAACCAAACTAGGTATGAAAATTATGGTGAAATGTTCCACTCTTAGGTGTCAGTGTGGAGGAAGATTGCAATGACTAATTATATCAGACTCCAAGACAGCCTTCACTAGATAATGAAGAAATGAGATCTTTTACCCCATCTGAATTTGGAATCTCTCACTGCCTCATTTTTGCTCTCATTATATAACAATTGCAAGGATAGTGTAGTGGTTGAATACATTGATACATCATAATTGAAAAAAAGTGCTCCTGTCATTGCTGATAGGATTTGAATAATTTTTGTTGTTAAAGCAGAAAGATCTAAACCAGTGGTTCCCAAACTTGTTCCGCCGCTTGTGCAGGGAAAGCCCCTGGAGGGCCGGGCCGGTTTGTTTACCTGCTGCGTTCGCAGGTTCGGCCGATCGCGGCTCCCAGTGGCTGCAGTTCGCTGCTCCAGGCCAATGGGAGCTGTTGGAAGCGGCACGGGCTGAGGGACGTACTGGCCACCGCTTCCAGCAGCTCCCATTGGCCTGGAGCAGCAAACCGCGGCCACTGGGAGCCGCGATCGGCTGAACCTGCGGACGCGGCAGGTACACAAACCGCCCTGGCCTGCCAGGGGCTTTCCCTGGACAAGCAGTGGAGCAAGTTTGGGAACCACTGGTCTAAACTCTGCAGCCATTTTCATGCTGCCTAAAGTTGGTAATTCCTGTTTTTGACTTCATTTGTCATTTGTCATTCATTTGCCTTTCTGAATTAAGATTTTACTTAATTTTTTTAGCTTTACAGTGAAAAACACCCATTTGATTCAGGAACAGTTTTGCAGTGGGGGATTTTTCAAGAAACATTTAATGAGTCATCCTGCTTGTGACTGAGATATTTCTCTTGCTATTATTTTAATGGTGTTTTGAATCTTTGGAAGAAAAATATGATGCCCCATTAATTTTAACTTCATACTCTGTTACATTTTACAGAAATAGTTAAAGGAAGAATAATAATTGTTTCCATCACTTTTGGTAAATCTACTTGGATGAGGTTAAATTTCAACTGATATGCTATGTGTCTGAAGATGCTGTTTCTAGGTCCTCAAGATTAGATTTTAATGAAATTGATTATACTTGATGTGTTACAACTCTAAAGGTTATCAGTTTTGTATTAACTTTTTAGCATTATTCTTGCATGCAGCAAACCCAAATTCTTGCATGTAAGAATAACGTTATTTGATACTATTCAGAATGATATATTGAAGTTAATGGTGAGGATGACCACGGGATCAGAACTAGACTCCTTTTGAAAATTTATTTTTAACACTTTATTATCTAGAGAAGGAGGTGCGTAGCGACTTGTTGAAATCTGCCCTCAACAATTTATTTGCTGAATTAAAACTACCAAGGTTTGTGAAGAAGACAGGAAGAATCTAATTAAATTAAATTGTCAGCAAAATTATCAGATGAAATTTAATGTAGAAAAGTGAAAGGTAATGTACAGTAGGAAAAACAATTTAAACATTTCATATATATTAATGGGTTCATCACTAGATATGAGAGATCTAAAAGGAGTCTTCTTTAGCTTAATTAAAATATCTGATCTCTGTATCACACTGCTCAAAAGAGTTAATTTAGATACTTGGCTGTATTAAAACAGAAAAGAATAAACAAAACCTGAAAATCGAAGTCTGCAAATTGGTCGTACATCTACACCTTGTTTGTTGCATTTAATTTTGGTTACCTGAATTCAAGAGGGACATGGTAGGGATGGACTTCTCCCAGAGGCTCACAGACATACTTCTGTGTAACAATATTTTGCCTTTGGAATAGTATAGATTATGTAGAACAGTGGTTCTCAACCTTTCCTGAGTACTGTACCCCTTTCAGGAGTCTGATTTGTCTTGTGTACCACCAAATTTTACCTCACTTAAAAACGACTCGCTTACAAAATCAGACATAAAAATACAAAAGTATCACAGCACACCATTACTGAAAAATTGCTTACTTTCTCATTTTTACCATATAATTATAAAATAGATCATTTGGAATACTGTATAAATATTGTACTTACATTTCAGTGTATAATGTATAGAGCAGTATAAACGAGTCATTGTCCATATGAAATTTTAGTTTGGACTGACTTCACTAGTGTTTTTTATGTAGTCTGTTGTAAAATTGGGCAAATATCTAGATGAGTTGATATACCTCCTGAAAGACCTCTGGGTATCTCCAGGGGTACACGTACCCCTGGTTGAGAACCACGAGTGTAGAATGCTGACCCTCATAGCTGCTCTTGCCGTTCTTTCCCATTTCTGACTTTGGAACAGAGGGGCATCTCCATTCTTACTTCCCTGCTCATTCTCTGACAGTAAGGTTAGCTGTGGCTTGCCTCTGGACCTGGCTGTGGTCTGCCATCTTTGAAATTGACCTTGTTCACTAATAAACATCTGGGGTTTTGTTTGTTTTGAGCCAAGACAGTCTTGATAATAGCTTCCAAGTTGTGTAAGCATATATCTTCTGTATCCTGAAGGGCTTGTATTGTTATAACTGTGCTTGCATTTTTTTTCTTTTGCTGTCTATCAGGAAGGAATAAATTAAACTATTCACTGTCTTGAAAATTTTCCTGGAAACTATAATCAGAAACTGGGTAAACTGGTAATTGAAATGATGGACCACTCCATCCTTATAATTTGGACTTTTCCCCATTGGATAATTGCACTTTTCTCCAGTTTATGACATTAAGTATTATCTGTGCAGTCAATAAATTGCAATTATCTGGGATCACGTTCATCAACATTTTGTGTAACTGTGGAGCTACATATTTCATACCTTTTGAGAATTCAGTGAAAGTGTCATTTATTTGTGGGAATGTAAGTGCCAAATTGTGACAGTGGTGAAATACTAGTATAATCTTATTGCAGTGTAATTTATGATCAGACAGTGGGACATATTTTTTTTCAGATGACGTTAGACATTGCCTAGACGCTACTGGCTATGGAGAAACCGAAGCATCTTCCTTTACTAGGCATGTTATTTTTTCCCTTCTTTCTTTGCCATCACTCCCCTTCTGTTCTAATTTGTTACTTATTTATATGGTGCCACAGGAAGTACATGGCACATAAAGACAAGGCTCTCATGTAGGCCCTGATCATGAACGGTGCTGAACGCTCACAACTCTCATTGTTTTCATTGGGAGAGGGTGTTCAGCATCAATAAGGTTTTTAATATAAAGTGAGAGGCAAAGATTTGCATGTAAAGGGGTTTTCCTTTTTTAATCCAAAAGCAGACTCTTCTGTAATGAAAATTTGGCATGTGTGTGTGTACACACACACACACATATATATATCCATTTTACACAACTTTAATTTATAGATTTCAAAGTCATTTTGAGGTCTTTTAAATTGGTTCTTTTAGGTGATTTGCACAAGGGCTCGCTTGGCTGTAGTGTTTGATAGATGGTAATCTGTTTATAATTCACTTAGTTTAGTTCAAGAAATTACTCATTTTACCAAATACTCAAGATTATAGTAAATCAGCTATGTTTGATTTGATTTTCACTAATGTTATATTTAGGCTTTGTAGCAATTTTTCTAATAACCATGATGATTATTGTACTTTCATGTGCAGTAAAGACTGTTGGACAAAATTTATCATGCAAGCATTTCTTTATGTGTAGTTGCTGATAGAAGGAAAATATTAAGTTAATTTTTTTTTAACAAGCAGATTGACAGTATTTTAATAACAGTAAGTATCAATATTCTGTTTAAAGAAACTCCTAAAATATATCTGAAGAATGGGTACGATCTAACTTTCTCCTCAAATAGAAAAATCAGGAGTTGTAACTCAAATGGCCCAGCACATTATTTACTGAATACTCATCTGTGTGCTACATACAAGATCTTGGAAAAGCTGGCTGTAGTCCCTCATCCCCTACTGCATCACGAGGTTTATCATAGGCTGGTGGAGGAAGTTCTTGCAGAAGCCTCTAATTTAGGATGTTGACAGCACAACACTGGGGAAGAGTGAAGCACCTTAAACCAATGGTTCTCAACCAGGGGTACGTAGAAGTCTTCCAGGGGGGTACATCAACTCATCTAGATATTTGCCTAGTTTTACAACAGGCTACATAAAAAGCACTAGCAAAGTTAGCACAAACTAAAATTTCATATAGACAATGACTTGTTTATACTGCTGTATATACTATACACTGAAATGTAAATACAATATTTATATTCCAATTGATTTATTTTATAATTATATGGTAAAAACGAAAGTAATTGTTCAGTAATAGTGTGCTGTGAGTGACACTTGTATTTTTACGTCTGATTTTGTAATCAAGTAGTTTTTAAGTGAGATGAAACTTGGGGGTACGTAAGACAAATCAGACTCCTGAAAGGGGTACAGTAGTCTGGAAAGGTTGAGAGCAACTGCCTTAAACTGTTCCAGGAATTAGCATGCTTCTGCGGAGGACAAGCTACTACTGAGCTACTCTGGGATGTCCAGCCATACAATAATAACTCCCTTACTTCCTACCCACTTTGAGTTTACTCAGGCAGATTAACAAAACTCTATCAAGAAGATGATGAAACTTGTGTCTGCTTGCAGAGGTTTTTATGCAAACATCTGATTTTAGTGAGTTTGTTTTCTTCCTTGCTTGTATTGTGGGATAGAAAAACTATAATGACTAGTTTTGTTTTTGTGTATTTCTTGTCTCTCTTAGATTACAAGAGGTGTTCAGGCTGTCCAAGATATAGTTGTACAAAAGGATCACAGACTTTCCCAAGCAATGGTTCGTTATGGCTCTTTACATGTCACGCTGTTAGTGATGCATTTATCCAATGAAGAAGAAGTTGGCACGTAAGTGTTTTGCTGTTAAATTATGTACATTAAAAATCTATTTCTTTGGTTGTAGGGAAGTTCAGGGAAGAAGACCCCATTTTAATATACATGTATAAAGGGTAACAATTCTAAATTTCCTGAGACTGATCATATACCTGCACTTGGGAATGTTCAGAATAATATACTTTGGTGTATGCTTAACCCTTTAATTCTGAGTTGAAACTAAAGTGTGCAGTGGTCCCTGTGGGAGATGAAAGGGTTTCAGTTCTCTCACCACCTTACAATCCTTTATTTAGGCAGAGTTATCCATCCATGTCCAGTTCTGCAGCTCCTCCTTAGGCCTGGTTTTTCATCTCTCTTTCTGCTGTGAGTTAGCACAGGTAGTAGCTCCCCTCTGCTGGCTGACAGCTGCTTTTTGTTTTTCCTCTAGGTCAACCAACTTATGTAGTTAGTTGACTTTAGCTTCCCCAGTGCAGCCGGAGCCCGGGAGGGGAAGCGCCCAGCCGGGGGCGCAGGGTCTGGAGGTCTGGGGGCTGCCCGGCAAACCGTGAAGCCGCCAGGGGGAATCCGCCTGCAGCTCCCCCGAGACACCTCAGCTCTGTGCAGCTGAAGAGCGGAGCTGCCCGAGCGCTACCCGCTTCACGGTTTGCCGGGCAGCCCCCAGACCTCTAGACCCTGCGCCGCCGCCGGGCGCTTCCCCTCCCGGGCTCCGACTGCGCTGGGGAAGCGCCCGGCTGAGGGCACAGGGTCTGGAGGCTCCCCGGCAAACCGTGAAGCCGGTAGCGCTCGGGCAGCTGTTTCTCGTGGCTGGGAGGGAGGAGGGGGAATGCAGGGCGCTCAGGGGAGGGGGCAGAGTTGGGGCGGGGACTTTGGGGAAGGGGCAGGGAAGGGGTGGAGTTGGGGCGGGGAAGGGATGGGGCCCTGTGGAGTGTTCCCGTGGAGTGTCCTCTTTTTTTAATGTTTAAATATGGTAACTCTACTTCCATGACCTCCGTGACATCAACATAGCCTTATGCAAAAGGCCCTGCTCCCCTGATGGGAGAGATACAGAGGTAGCCAGCAGGAAAGAACAGCAGGGAGAACAGGCCAGTCTAGACCTGTTGGGCACCCTCTTATCCCCTCAAATCCTCTGTCCCCTGAAATACAAGAGCAGGAGCACATGAGCTTCCTCCTGCCCTGGGCAATGGCCCAAGGAGGCCATTGCTGCCTTAGGGCAGCTGCTGTTGTGTAGTGGAAGCATGCTCTCAATGACTCCAGGTGATTTCACATCCTGTTGACGTCAGCAGAATTGTTAATTGAGCTAAACTGTGAACGTTCAAGAAGTGGGGGCAATATGGGGTTAACTGCTAATTAGAGATTGATCCTGGAAGAGAGATGCAGAGAAAAAGGAGATAACTGGCATTAAAATAAAACAAAAGTTGAAAGTAATACAATATAATAGGAGGCATTAAAGCAAAATAAAAGTTTCTGTGAGATGGCTGGGGTGAAAGAAGGGCATGTTGGTTCAACAATAGCGGAACATATTGGTTGAGGTGTCTGTGCAGAGGGAAAAAAAATATGTTTCTAGGATGGGAATATGGCTTGAGGAAACCACAATTAAAAAATGTAACTGAAGTACCTTTGACTGTTGCTCACATGTTAACTGTCTCTTTCAGTTTACTTTGTCTAACTGCACTGTAGTCTCTTTGGACAAGGAATGTATGTTTTTTACATAGTTATATAGGTCCTACACAATGGGAGCTTGATCGTGAGTCGGTGATGTGGGCATTTAATAATAATGCTCTAGATTGCTTACAGTAGAGAATGAAGGTTTTTAGTTCTTTCCTGGATGTGTTCAAATCCATTCTTTCAAAAGATTAAAGAGTGAAAAGTTTAACTGTGCTTTCTTTGCTTTTATATACTTCACTAATTTCGTGTACAGAACACCACTAGATTTACAGAAAGAGACAAAGTGTTAAATAACTTTTAACAAGTTTGGTTTCAGCAAGGTACATCTTGGCCTTAAGTTGCTCTCACATCTCAATGTTACAGCAAACAATTGGTAACTGTTAAAAATAAAAGCATAGAATAGAGAAAAGAAAGACAAACAGATATACCCCATATCTGACCCCCTCAGCACGCATATACGAACAGTTGAAAGGATTCTAATTTGCTTTGCTTATATTAACTTTGTTTTTGTCAGAGACTTTTAAATTAACAATTTAGAAAAGAGCTGAGATCCATACTTAAATGTCATAATGTTTAGATTACATAATTCAGAAAAAACATGGACAGCTCCTAAAATCCGTTTTACATATTCCTAGAGGGATGTTTTGTTCCTGTCACTATTTCCTCACCCAGCTCTGAAATCTAGAGATCATTGTAAATTTCCTCTTTCATTATCTCTGGATGTTAATTGAACTGAGTTTAAAAATAGATAACAGTACCATGTAAGGGTAATCTTTTGTTTCAGTCAGAATAAGTCATATTTAAATGTTACTTGAAACACTTTATAAATGGAAAAATAGGAATATAGAGTCAAATCTTGCTTGTTCATTTATATTAATATTGAATTTTCTAGGAATATTTGCTTGGGTATAGTGACCAGGGGTTGTCCCATCCACTCTACACTTAGAGAGCAATTCGGAGAGCTATAAAAATGTTAAGGTAGGATACAGAAAAATGTTAAATTGGCTAGAAAACTGATTGGCTAGAAAACCAATTTATTAACTCCACCTATAGACAAACCAGAGGTGAAAGTAAGCCCTGGAATGGTGTACCGGCAAGAAGCAGCATCAGCGAGTTATATGGGCTTGTGGCTCCAACAGTATTGAGGGTCCACGAATGTTCGGGGCCGGGTCTCCCCCCTGGCCCCACCTGCTGCCCCCCGCGCCTTCCCTGAGTGCCCCCCGGCATCCCTTTGCTGCCCCCGTGCACCTCCCTGGGTCCTGGAGCAGAGCCTGTCTCTCCCTGTCCCCTGCAGCTCCAGGCTGCCTGCCTGCATTAACTGCCACTGCAGGGTCCTAGTGCCCCCCTGCACTACTGCCAGGACAGGCTGCCCTTCCCCCTCAGACCCTTTCATTTTCCGGTGGGACCCTCCACCAGTACAGCCACCCCTCCTGCCTGCAGTCACCGCTCTTGCCCCACACTGGGCAAGGGGCAGCCCCATCCCCCACCCCCAGTGAGGCTACAGTGAGGGGCAGCAGCAGGGGAGGAGGCACACATGTGATGGCAGCCCCCCCGGCATGGCACCCACCACAGGGGAGGCGAGGGAGATTCCTGGACCTGAGAGTGGCTCTAGGAGCACGTGCAGTGACAGTGGTGGGGGTGAGTGTGCTGCCAGGGGGAGAAGGGGGGTCCCTACCCTAGAGCTCGCTGCTGCTGGCGGGGAGAGGGCTGGGGGGAGTCCTCCTCTCTGGCTCCAGTCCCAGGGCAGCCTGCCTGCACTCCAAACTCATCCCCAGCCCTGCCCCACCCCAGAGCCCACACCCCCAGCCAGAGCCCTCATCCCCCGCACCCCAACCCTCTGTCCTAGCCCTGAGCCTCTCCAACACCCCAAACCCCTCATCTCCAGCCCCAGCCAGAGCCCTCATCCCCATGCACCCTAACCCTCTGCCTCAGCCCTGAGTCCCCTCCCACACCCCAAACTCCTCATCCCCAGCCACACCCCAAATCCACCCCAGCCTCACCCCACAGCCCTCACCCCTGCACCCCCTCCCTCCGCACCCCCTCTTATCCCCAAACTCCCTCCCAGAACCTGCATCCCCTCCATCTGCACCCCCCTCCGATCCCCAAACTCCCTCCCAAGGCCTGCACCCTGCACCACTACTACACCCCAGTCCCCTGCCCCAGCCCAGGGCCTGCACCCCAGACCTCCTCCCCCACCCAAACTCCCTCCCAGAGCCTTGGGCAGGTGGGGGGTGGAGTTTGGGGAGGGACAGAGTTTGGGCAGGGGCAGGTTCTGGGCACCACCAACATTTCTACAAACCTGCCACCCCTGCTGGCAAGAGCTGTTGCGCCATACCGGGGTGGACCGGCTTCCTCAGGCAGCAATTTAAAGGGCTGGAGCCCAGGGCCCTTTAAATTGCTGCCAGAGCCCCGCTGCCAGAGCCCTGGGGTAGCAGCGGCGGGGCTTGGGTGGCGATTTAAAGGGCCCAGGGCTCCTGCCGCCGCTACTGCCCCGGGCCCTTTAAATCGCCGCTGGAGCCCCACTGCCGCTACCCCAGGGCTCCGGGGACAATTTAAAGGGCCTGGGAGATAGAGGCAGTGAGATCCCCGGGCCTTTTAAATAGCCCCCAGAGCCTGCTGGAGCCCTGGGATAGCGGCGTCAGGGCTCTGGTGGCTATTGAAAGTGTTCGGGGCTTCCGCTGCCTCTACCACCCCAGGCCCTTTAAATAGCTGCCGCCGCTACCCCAGGGCTCCAGCAGCAGGGCTCCAGAGACAATTTAAAGAGCCCTGGAGCGGAGCGACAGGCGGAGCCCCGGGCCCTGCTGCTGGAGCCCCAGGGCTCTGTCGGCAATTTAAAGGGCCCGGGGCTCCGCTGCGGTAGCAGCAGCTAGAGCCCCAGGCCCTTTAAATCACCCCCTTTAAATCGCCTCCTAACCCCAGGGCTCCTAGCCACCTCTGCAGCTGGGAGCTCAGGGGGTGATTTAAAGGGCTCGGGGCTCCCAGCTGCTGCTATCACAGCCCTAGGCCTGGGGATTTAAAGGCCCCGCCTCTTCCGGTGGAGGCCATGCCTCTTCCTGTTGAGGCCCCGCCCCTCCTCAGGACTCCAGAGTACCGGCAAGTCCTTTAAGTTACTTTCACCCCTGAGACAAACACACACATTATAAAATCACATACAACTAATTCTTCAATGAGACAAAGCCAAACTGAAAAGACTCTGCTCTAATCCAAAACTGATCCTTCACAGCCTATCCATCAGGCAAAACCAGAGTCAATAGATGGGCTTGTGAGGTATATTCAGTTAATGGGGGACCCAGTACAACTGTTAAAGGCCCTCTTTTGAAAATTATGTATTACCAGTTCCCAGAAGCAAAAATCTAGAGACTGTCAGCTTGATGTCCCAGTTGATGTCAACTGTTTGCATAAGGCACAAAAAAAAAAAAGAGAGATCATGTCTAAGTAACCAGGACCTGAAACGAATTAGCAGCCACTAGCAGCCTGTGGAACAGTAGGCTAATATGCTTCATTTGTAATATCCTGCAAAGAAAGGCAGCTGAATCTGCACTTGCTGAAATTTGTGAGACATCTTCATGTATAGTTCCACGTAGAGCACATTGCAGTAATCCAGCCTGGTGGTAGAAAAGGCCTGAGTGACTAGGGAGGTGTACATGCATAAGGAACAGTCAGACCCCTTTGTCAAGCACAGATGAGTAAAAGTACGTTTGTCCACTGATCCTATCTGGGCATCCAGAAACTTACAGGTTTTATTCATATGGTGAAGGTTGCAAACTTCATTTTAAAAATTGGCAAGGATACCCTAATGAAAAGAACGTATCACATCTGCTGTTACCTTTAGATGTGTTCCTAATTCAGCCAACATCACTTTTTACCTGAACTAGGTTTCAGTCAACCATCTAATTCTCACCCAAGCCTTCAGTACCATAGAGACACTGGAAAAGTAGAGGGGAGTGCTGTTCAGATATGATTATAAGAATGTACACACACCGTGTGGGTAAGTGTATGTGTGGGCATAACGAATGAAATAACCTATTATACCTGATAAGATACGAAAGTTCTCAGTTGCCATGGTGATAGCTTGCTTATAAAAAGAATCATAGGGCTGGAAGGGACCTTGAGAAGTCATCTAGTCCAGTCCCCTGCACTCATGGCATGACTAAGTATTATCTAGACCAAATACTAAAGATAGAATCTACATCATTTATTTTGATCTATCAGTGCCTCTAAGGGTACACTGCAGACTCCTTACATCAGCGTATAGAGTACATACACTGCATGTCTTCCTAGCATGTGTATAAATAGCAGCGTAGACAGTGAGGGACTGCTTAGGTGAGTAAAGACATGCTTGAATCCTTAAGGTATATACCCTATGTGGCTCCTTATACATCCAAGCAATACCTCCCCTTTCTACACAGATACTTTTTAGCAGTGTTGTGACCTGCTGCTGGAGTCTTTCTCCACTGCTGGGAGTTGCCGAAGCCTTTCCCCTCCACAGGGAAACACTCCAGCAGGAGGGAAAGATATTAGCAGGGCAGAGGCAGAGGGGAAAGGATCTGTCAGCTCGCAGCTGCTGGAGCCTTTCCCTGCCACAGGGAGTTGCCAGAGGCTCTCTCTACCACAGTGAAAGACTCCAGCTGGGGGAAAAGCTCTGACGGCGTAGACAGTGTGGAGCTGCTAGAACTTTTTCTTGCTGCCTCCCCAGTGCCAGGGCCTTTCACTGATGTGTGTAGCTACACACTGCTTCATGGACACAGCCTGCTTTTTACTGCGGTGTGTAGCTACATGTACCCTACGCAGTGCCACAGTGGTGTGCAGTATAGACATAGCCTAAGAATGTATCTATTTTACAGGTAATTACTGCCATCTAGTGACTATAAAGTCAACATCCCATCAGTGAAGTAAAAGGTTAATATTTCATTGACAATAGCTAAGGAAAAAAATCATTGCAGTAGGTGGGCAATACCACATACAATACAACTTCCATCACTGAATTGTATGTCTTATTGGCATTAAATGGCACTAAAAATGTACTCGTTGATCTCTCTACCTCCTTGAATCTGAAGGTCATTTCAAGAGAAGTACAACCATTTCACATATACAAAAATATCTATTGAAAATGGTTATTAAAATGCTAACAGATCTTGTTTCTCAACTAAAGCATACATTTATTCTTATACCTGCATGCCACTTATCTCCTATTATCAACAAGATAAAGTAAGGAAAGTAATAGTGCTTCCTATCCCAAAGAATCCCAAAGTGCCTTGTAAATAGATTACAATGATATACAAACTGTTACAAAGGATCCTTTCAAGCATCCTTTCACTGGAGTGAAACACGGCATCTGTTTAACAGAACAGAGTAACGTTATGCAATAGTTTAGGATAGGAGGTGAAGTAAAATGCCATATTTAATTGAAATTTCAGGACAAATTAGGGAAGCAGAATGTTAAGTAGTAAAGTTGGAATTTGGCCAGTACACTGAAGATTTCTGGAAAGTTTGAGCAAAATAGCTCTTGAAAGAGTGAACAAAAATATTCTTCCCCCTGAGCAGCAATCTGGCAGGGGACTCCAATCTTCTGTGTGGGGTACCTAAAAAATGACTGTCCTTTGAAATTTCAGACTTAAATGAGCAGTGCATATTTAAAAAATACTAATTTTAAAAGAACAAACTTATGTTTGAAAATGCAGAGTTGCATATATACAGTAAGCAATTCTTATTAGATGTGATGCACAGGAGTTAAAAAGACATAATCTATTTGAAATCTAGTCTGTTTTAAAAAATGAGTTAAATAGTATTTTGTGATATTACACCTGTCATTATGTCCCCCAGACAATTTTTGTGGTTTTACATTTTTTAATTAAAAAAAAATTCTCTGTTGCTCTGTGAAAGAGACATAAAAATGGAAAAACTGACAAATTAGTCACAAAGGGAAACAATGAAAATGACAATACACAAAGTAAGCAAACTGAAAAAGAGAATTTTTTCCCTTTGATTGTTGAAACTGCCCTGTTGACTGTTAGTAAGTGACACAAGCTCAGTTAATTCAAAGCAAGGAGCAGAGCTGTAGCGCTAGAACAGAGACAGAAGAAGTTCAGTGTTAATGAGACTTCCTTAAAGATGTGCCCAATGCTTCGATTTTGTCACAGGAATTAATGTTGGCTAAGTACTGAACATGTGCATTTGAAAATTTTAAATTCTGTAGGCACACATTTATGCTCAAATCCTGGTCCCTTAGAGTTAGTGGGAGATTTGCCATTGACTTAAATGAGATCAGGATATTGCCTTTAAAGAGCAATGCAGTATGCATCTTTACACAACTAGTTATATGTTGAGTTTCAGAAACCGGTTATGAGACTCACATAGTCTCACCAGCTCTCGAATATCTTTGTTGTTCCCTCAATATGCATTTGAAGAATGTTTTTGATTGTGTGTGGCAATCAAAGACCTCACTGAGCCTACGATGCTTCCCCAACATCAGATCTCTGTTTAACAATCTGGGATTGCACTGCACTGATGCCAGGCTAGCCCAAGGTGTGGCCATGGTCAGTCATATTTACAGTACCATCGCCTGGGACCAGATCCTCAGGTGTAATCTGACATAGCTCTCTCTGGCAACCCCCACACTCTGCGCTATGCTGGGTTCTTAGCTTCCTCTTCCAGACAGTCTCAGGAAGGCCTCTGTTCTACTTCCTAGATACAGAGCCGTTTTTAACAACTGTGATTCCTTCTCCCTGGTTCCCAACCCTGGACTAATTAGCTGAGTCTCTTCTGGGCAGAAGGTTACACCTCTAACACCCTTGTTTCTGGAGAGTGTATGGTTAAGCGTAACCATGTGTTCCTGGAAAATAAATATTTTCTCAACAGCATCTACATTCTGATAGGGAGTTTTGACAGGGAAGGTGTATGAACAATAAGGAGTGGATACATTGGTAACCACTCACAAAACAAAATACTCTCCTCGAGGCTTTAATAAACGTTTGCTCTGTGACCTTGGGCAAGTCTGTCTCAGTTTCCTTTTCAATAAAATGGGGCAAATAATACTTATAGCACTGTTATAGGTATAAGATAACACAAAGGTGTTGTGAGGCTTAATTAATAAAATTTTGAGGTCCCTGAATGGAAGACATACAAAAAATTAAATTATTACTATATCAAAGAGATTTTTCTTCCCTTCACAGAGCAGTTGGTGCTCTTTTAGAAAGCAAAGATGCAGTAGAAGAACTCCTACAAGGAAAACATTTGGATTTATCATTTCAAGGAATTGATGATTTTAGAAATGAAGTTGTATTTGTGAAGTTTGCAGCGAGTCATCATACAGCCATGCTTACGGAGATATCAGGTAAAACTTGTTAATATCATTACAAAGTACTCAGAATGCTCTTCTAAGATCTTGCTAATATAGGACTATGTTATCCACTAAATGGGCAGTAATTACAATTGGAGCTTACACATTCTTCTGTTGGGAGGGCTGGCATTTCAGACCACAAAATTCATGGATTTTTTGAGCTCCATGGAGGCCCTCTGCCTCTGCAGTGGTTCGTGGCCCATCTTTGCACTGTCCATCCCAAAATCCATGTTTACTATCTGCCCTAGAACCACCCTCCTAAAGGAAGTTATCTACATCATGGAGGAGAAAGATAGGTAAGTTAACGTTGATTGAGTCAGGATTAATTTCCTTACAAGTTTCATGGGTTGGGTGTGTTGAGACAGTGCATCTCCATGGCTTCCCCCTTGATTCACCTCATTCCCCATGCTCATACCTGAAACCTCATGGAGTATCCTGAGAAGGCTGAAAAGGCAATAATATTCCCTCTCTCACTCTGGGTCATAGAACCATACGATTAGAAGGGATCACAAGGGTCATCTAGTCTAATCCTCTTCCCAGATCCAGGATTTATTGTGTCTAAACCATTCAAGACAGATGGCTATCCAGCCTCCTTTTGAAAACTTCCAGTGAAGGACCGCTCTAGGCAGTCTGTTCCATTGTGATTCTGTTACTAGGGTTAGGAAGTTTTTCCTGAGATTTAATCTAAATCTGCTGTGCTATAGTTTGAGCCCATTGTCTCTTGTCCGGCTCTCTGTGGCAAGAGAGAACTTTTCTTCATTATTTTTATGACAGCCTTTCAAATATTTGAAGACTGCTATCATGTCCCCTCTTAATCACCTCTTTTCCAAACTAAACATACCCAGTTCCTTCAGCCTTTGCTCATACGGCTTGCATTCCTTCCCTTTGATCATCTTTGTCACTCACCTCTGGATCCTTTCCAGTTTCTCTACATCCTTTCTCTACATTGGTGACCAAAATTGGACACCGTATTCCAGCTGAACCTAACCAGCACCAAGTAGAGCAGTACTATCACCTCCTGTGATTTGCATGCTATGCCTCTGTTAATGCAATCTAAAATTTCGTTTGCTTTTTTTTTGTAACAGCATCACATTGTTGACTCATGTTGAGATTGTGATCCAGCACAACTCCCAGATCCTTCTCAGCAGTGCTGCTGCCAAGCCAGTTTCCCCCTTCTGTATTTGTGCATTTGTTTTCTATTCTCTATAGCGCCTTACATTTGTCTTTGTTGAATTTCATTTTGTTGTCTATAGCCCAGTTCTCCATTTCATCAAATACTTATACCCTACCCTTGCTGTAATTGAGGGTATATCATCCATAATTAAACCCACTGGATTAGAAACAAACAACAAAAACAAATAGAAGGTCAAATGCAGACCCTCTTCCCATGGGTGTGAAAGTTCCCCAGCCAATGGGACATGGGCAGACCAGGAGAAGGGTGTGACCTGAGAATCTGCCTCACGAAGTGGGCATGGGGTGTGTGTAAAAGTCCCTGTCACTGTATTGGTCTCCCGGGGCACCCCCCGAAGTCATACAGCTTTTGGTCTTTGTTTCCAGGCAGCCAACACCACACCTCCATCCAAGGCTCTGCTCGCCTCCTAGGTCTGACACCAGCTGAGCTGGGCTTTTCCCTTTTACATCTTCCCTTCAGGCCTGACATGCCTTGCAGAGGTGGTAGGGCTGCTTGAGCCCAGTACAGTCTGTTAACCTCATCACATACACCCTGTCACAGTCCCACGTAGTTTCTTCAGTCTTTAGGCTGAAGGTAGCCTCTATGGAGGAGCTTTGGAGCCATGCTGCAGATTGTAGAGTGAGGATTCTTCCCTCCCCACCCCTCCATGTATCTGCTCAGCACCTAGTCTGGCTTCTCAGACTGAGTGCTGTGCTCAGAATTTGAATTTAAATAAAAACAGACATGGCAAACATAAATGTTGATTGTGTTCCTACTGCAAAGTGTTCTAGGCACATACCTTTTATATTTAAAAATAATGAATTTTAATAATTACTTGGAAGAAGTGTCAGGTATAGGTGTCAGCATTATTTTATGTTAGCAGCAGCATGATATTCTGGTTTTCATGGCAGTTGTGGGTTCATCATGAAATCCAAAAGATTGGAGTGTAGATATCACTACTGTTTTTCTTTTTCTAAATCTAACTCCAATGTATTTTAGAACAGAAAGGCCTGAAAGAAATAAAAAAAAAAAAATTAAGCTTATTTTGTGGCTCATTCTTTTTTTTTAGCCTATCTATAATGTATCTTAAGATCATTTAGCAGACCATGTTAGTAACTTCTTATGTCTGATTATGGAAAAAGCCCTACTGAAACTGTAACGATGCATTCTCTTTTCAAATTATTTAATTTAGATATTCATACACATTTTTAAATGCTTATTGAAAGCTCTAAATATCTATAAAAATATATATAAATACAAAAATAAACACAGCATTTACTCCAAAACAAAAAGAAATAAAACCATTCTGGCCACAAATCCCCATAATTGGTAACCACATCCTTGAAGTGTAGTGATACAATGCAATAACTGTACAATTGCTATTACTGTATTTTAGTATTCATGATCCCATAAGAACATAAGAATGGCCGTAATGGGTCAGACCAAAGGTCCATCTAGCCCAGTATCCTGTCTACCGACAGTGGCCAATGCCAGGTGCCCCAGAGGGAGTGAATCTAACAGGTAACGATCAAGTGATCTCTCTCCTGCCATCCATCTCCACCCTCTGACAAACAGAGGCTAGGGACACCATTCCTTACCCATCCTGGCTAATAGCCATTAATGGACTTAACCTCCATGAATTTATCTAGTTCTTTTTTAAACCCTGTTATAGTCCTAGCCTTCACAATCTCCTCAGGCAAGGAGTTCCACAAGTTGACTGTGCGCTGTGTGAAAAGGAACTTCCTTTTATTTGTTTTAAACCTGTTGCCCATTAATTTCATTTTGTGCCCCCTAGTTCTTATATTATGGGAAGAAGTAAATAACTTTTCCTTATTTACTTTCTCCACATCACTCATGATTTTATATACCTCTATCATATCCCCCCTTAGTCTCCCCTTTTCCAAGCTGAAAAGTCCTAGCCTCTTTAATCTCTCCTCATATGGGACCTGTTCCAAACCCCTAATCATTTTAGTTGCCCTTCTCTGAACCCAAGTTAGATTAAACTGATTTTGAAAGACACATTAGATTTTTTTGAAAATTTTCCTCATGATTTCACTGCAGAGTTAAGGTTGTTTGGACACCTTAACTTGTATTTCCATATACTGTACTTTTTAACATTTAACCTTAATTTTTTGTATTTTCTGGGTTTGCAATGCTTGTTTTGGGGAGAATTACAGCAATGTATTATATCCTAAATTGCTGATATGTACTGTCAACCTTTGAGGGGTCAGGAGAAGAGAGTGGGGATTTGGGGGGAGGAGAAGGAAGCAGAAATGTCCATAGGCCTCAGTAGAGGGTGGTGGGGAAAGGACTGTTTTTGGGGAAAGGAACCACATTAGAGAGAATGGCACTACATGAAGAAGAGATCTGTGCTGCAAGGACTTCCCTTGTATTGCAACCTCAGTGCATATTGTAGCAAAGGCAGCAGTACCATGGGGAGCCTTTCAAGCACTGGATGCCCAAGCTCACATGTGACCATGCAACCTGCAGCAGTAACAGATGGGGCCAAGTGATCTGCTACTGAGAACTTTTGACACGTGAGTCCAGTTTCTCTCATGTCACTGGCTCATTTCAACTAACAGAATTGTTGCATGCAGATTAGCTGTAGAGGAAGGGTTGAGTTTTCTCTAATGTCAAAATGGCTTCCCTTGAGAGTGACCTCAGCTGTCAACCTAGCCCTATTCGTATAATCCTAACAATTAAATATAGCAAATATAGCAATTGTTAATTGTTAGCTTCATTATAACCTGATTTTTTCAAATGTAGTTTGTGCATGAGATTTAATTAATCTTAACTATATGAACATTTTGAAGAGTCTTTTATTCTGATATTGAGATCATTTGGGGGGAAAAAGTTTGACACAAAGTGCTAACTTTCTTAAAGGACACATTCTCAAATGAATTTTAGTTCAAACAAATGAAAGTTTTTACTTGTAAAATCTCAGAAAATTCACTCTGGACTCTGTAATTCTGGGGAGGACACGTATTCTTAATAAATCACAGAGAGGTTGAATCCATGCTTTAAGTGCAAAACTCAACTCTGTTTTAACTATGGACCCACAACCACAACCCACTTCTTCGTAACAGCTATTGGCTTTGGCACATCAGATCAAACCTGTCATAAAATATAGTTCTTGAAGCTCAGTTAGTATGAGTGTATATCAAAAATAAGTGTAATATTAACTGAGTTCTGCTCTCCAGAAAAGCAACAGATGGTGCCTGGGTCAAAACAAAACAGAGAAGACACATCATTGCATCCCTCTAAAATCTGGGCTTAAAGTACGTTGTTCATAAGTATTTAATAAAAATATCTCAGAGCACAAGAAATGTCTCTAGTTTGTCATTGTCCTTTTAAGCTATGCCAGCAATTTCAACTATTCCTTGGAAAGGTTCCCTTAAAGAGATTTTCAGTACTGATGAATGATCCTTTGTGCTCTGAGGAATATGAGGTCACGCCATTTTTTAATATGGGCATAACCCATGTAGGACATTTTTCACAGTAGCAGAGACCACAGCCATCATATTGTCTCTGGTACATCCCAACAGCATATGTTAATAAAGTCTTGTTCAATTTTTCTGTGCTTTCTCCAGTATCTCATGTATCAGTTCAGTTTCCCAAGCACCTTTTGATTTTAGAGTTTATTAGTCTGTACCTTATAAAAGACGGAATGACAGACAAGCAGAGGTAGGGAACTCATTCAGCATTCTACAATAAAGTACACTGCTGCTGGGTACAGTTTTATTATTTGAAGCAGCTCCTGAATTAGAGGTATTTTTAAAATCCAGCCTGCTGGAAATGGAATAGTTCTTTCAAATCCAAAGTG